TGTTGTAGTAGTCGCAGTACCTGTCGCGGTGAAATCACAACGCACATTATAGCTGGACGTCGAAACTCCCAAAAAAAAACAATCGGCTGCACCGTTCGAACAACCCCCAACACAGCGACGATCACCCGCCACCTTGGGCAGCAGGCCTTATCGGCGGGGGGGGTGGGCGGGGGGGGGGGCATGCACTGAGGCAGCGACGAGTCTCGCCTTGCGGTTGCACCTCTCGTTTCACACATCCCTCTCGCGCAGCGCGCGCGTGTCAACCAAAAACTGCTGATGTTCAACTTTTCCCGGGGGGTAGTCTACTGCTGTAGGAGTCTCGCCACCCACCCGTCTCCAATCGCATAGAGGTAGCCCTCGCATTCTGGCCAGTCGGTCCCCGCGGCAGGGCTGGGCGTCGGGCTGTCCGTGCTGCAACTGCTGGGGGCCTCCGGGTCCATGCAGTCGTATCCGTAGTACCCGCAGCTGTTGTAGTACCCCCACGAATTGTAGTCTCGACACGTGCAGCGGCAGCAGTCGCCTGCGGACCACGTTTGTTTTTTTTATTCCATTAAAAGAGTGGGGAGGAAGAATAAAAAAAAGGGGGCAAGACACGCGCGCGCGCGCAAGGAGCACGGCCAAGATCAGCGGGGTGTGTGCATTGCATCGATGTGTCGATGAACGAATTTCTTCCGTCGGGAACCCAAAAACACGGCAGCTTCATCACGAAACGACCCACTGGTTGATGCTCCCTGCTCCCCTCCACACCGCTCAACCTGAAAACCGGGTTGCCCGCCATCGCGAATAAAAAAAAAAGAGAAAGGCCAGCGTGTCCCGTTGCCGCAGAAACGAACGACCAGTAAAAATATTGGAGATGTCATACCGCCCTTCCTTCTGGGATAAGCTAGAAATTTCTAAAGCATCTCGAAGTAAAAATGTTAATAGAAACCTTGTTGTTCTTACCACACTTCACACCTAAGGTCGACACACACGAGTGCTGGACATACGCAGTCCTTCGCATCCCACAAGTACTGCTCTAGTGTTGTCTTCACATTCTAACACCGTTCCGATCTCGCTACCCAGCACCTCCACCTCCACACTGATCAAAAGCTTAACGCGGACGATTCCCGTGCGCACACCAAAAAAAAAAAGCACCAAAACAACCGCTGTGTACCAGAATACAACGAACCCTGCTGGCTGGTCTTGGAGGAACGGAAACGCTCTTCTCATTCTCATTCTCACCCCCGTCGTAGCCGCACTCGGGGGTGTTGAGGTCGTCGTCGCAGTACCCGTCCTGCCAGTCGTACCCGTTCATATCCTCGCACTGCGCGAAGTTGGCCAGGTTGCAGTCGTCGGGCACGTCCGGGTCTCGGCAGTCGTACCCGTCGCCTAGCAGCCCGCACTCGTGCTCCACGTCCGCGTCCACCCCGCAAGTGCACGCGCAGCAATCCCCTGGTGTGCGGTCAGGGTGGTGTGTGTGTGTGTGTGCGTGCGCGCGCGTGTGTGTGTTGCGTCATGCGAATGCAGCAGAAGAAGACGGGGGCGGAAACGAAACGTAGGTTGGGCGTCCGTAAACATGATTATTCGAACATTATACATACCTAGCAGAATAAGGCATCGTTTTCGTGAACGTGTTCTCAGATGCATGCAAACACAAGAAGACGAGCGGACAAAGAAGAGCGTCCGTGAACACGACGTAATTTACGCGGACACAGAAGAAGACGTGCACGAGCAGCAATCAATCCGTTGGGGGGGCGATAAGCGTTCGTGAACATGTCGACGCCAAAAAAAGCAGCAGAAGAACCAAGGCGTGCCAAAAGAAGAAGACGTCGTAGACGTGAGAGTTGCAGCTAATCAACACACAGCGCGGCGCAATCGCTAAACCCTTCGGGCCGCCTGCAGAGAAGCTCGAACATAACGCGCTAATCGTTTTTTTTTTAAGATCACCACACATGGGGGGTGCGGCGAACAGCAGCGCCATCACTTCAAAGGCACTTGTGTACGCAGCACAAAGTTACAATGCATTCATTTCCACCGAAGGGGGGGGTTCAGAAGTCGGAGAAGGGGTGGTTTCGAACAAAAGAAAGGAACACCGTCATCTCAACAGTGATATTATACCGGCGTATCAGATGCGCGAAATGAACATCGCACAAGGGCAAACGCCGAATGGCGGCCAACACCGCCGCCGGCTGAGGACGTACGTAAGAATACCCTACACTGTTGGTAGTACAAAACAGCACAGCACAAACACACACGGTTGGCGGGAGTGAATGAAGTCAATACTGGAATGGAGAAAACCTTGCATCAAAATGTGCAAGTACCTACAGGGGAAGCCCCGTCCCGGCCGCCCTCCCCGGACACAAGGGGCAGGAACATTGAAAAATTGTAGCTTTCGTAGCAGAACTTTGCTGCGATACTATTGCCGTGGTCGTAGTGGCAGGGATCGTTTTAAGGGAAGGGGGGGGGGGCGTTGAAATAGTGATAGTCGTTGATGTTGTTGCTACTTGAGAATGCCGTTCCGGGTCGAATGGCTGGTAGGTACAAGCCGCATCGCCTCGAGCGTACCCGTAGGAAAACCAGCAAAGTCACACGCGACGAGTCTGGAGTTTGTCGAACACCCGACGCTGTGAACGCGTTGGTACCACCAGCGGGGCGAGCACCACCGCCCCCGCCCCCCCCTCAGTACGTTCCGTCCGTGTGTGCTCACCTCCGTCAAAGCCGCAAGCAGCGGTGTTGTTGTCTTCGTCGCAGTACCCGTCGCCTGCGTGAGGAAGGAACGACAAAAAGAACGAAGCGAGTGAGAGAAATCGAGAGAGGGAGAGAGAGAGAGAGAGAGAAATAGGGAAATACTTAAAATGCCGTGGGCTGCAGACTAAACGATTGGGCTTTGGTGCTACAGCTTGAACAGCAGCGGTGGAGGTTTTCACACAACGAGCAGGCAGCCGACTTGCTAGTCCCGCGACACAACGAAGTGCTCCCGTTCGATGTCGCGAGCCAACCTACACACACCGAAATCTTTCATCACCAACCAGGTGGACACAAAAGCATCGCCAACACGAACGCGGGACACACCTTTGCTCGTCTCCTCATGAAATGCTTGAATAAACAACGCAAGAGAGGCCCACCTCCAATGTCAGCTACAAGGCGTGCACAACAATTTCCCCCCCCCTTTCCCACAATTGCCAGACAGCTAAAAGGTATGTACAACATGAGTCTCCCTCCTCCTCCAAGGCGAATGCCTACCAACATATCGGGTGCACCCGGCACAACCCGGGTACTGTACGAGCGCCAACACCAACTCCGAAACCCTTTGCCCTTTGCTCATCTCCTGCATCAACAAAAACACCCCCCCCCCAATGGTCCAAAAACAGCTATTTAGAAGGGATGTACAACATGAGTACCCCCCCCCCC